TTCTTGTTTTTCATGTTTACTCCTTATGTCTAATTATAAAAGTAACTAAAATGTAAAAATATGGATCTTTTAGGTTAGTTACGATTAGATTAGGTAAAATAAATATTAATAATATTATAATAAAAATGTTTCACGATGCACACACGCGAGCAACTCATAGTAGCTCGTGGGTAATGTAATTCGTTAGCGTAACGTGAGCTGCATGTTCCCCCGAGCGATTTACAACTTATAATGGAACGGATAGTAGTTAGACATGGTTCAAAGGGCAATAAAACAATAAAATTTAATTATATATACTGTATACTGTTACAAACTTAGTGCTACTTAAGATAAACGAATGTAGTTTCATGTTACAATTTGAAGTTATTCTAGAAAGAGATAAAAAGTAATTTAGATTTATTCCTTTTTTTTTGGTGGTCAAATTGACCAATTCTGTTTTGAGATAGGGTAGAGAAAATAACAGATAAACTATAAAGTTTTACTGGAAAAAACCGATTTTAGGGATTATACAAAGGAAATTTGAGATTTTTGAGATGAAAAAAAGTATTTTTAATTTTAATATGAAAATTACTTTGCACATGGACTATTCAAAACAAATACTCAATATATTCATGGACAAATCTTTATTTTATTTTATAAAAAATGCTTCACTAAAAATATGGTTTTTTGTATGTGAATGACTTGTAACATTAACTGAAAGATTGTCAAATTTTGTGAAGATATACATACTATACTGAAAATTAGAAGTATTAAATCTATACAGACTTTAAACAAGTACAAGGAAGTTATGTGGTCATTCAAATTGACCAAGCCCGTATTGAGAGTTAATGGAAACAAAACTAAATAAAAAATGAATCGGCTAAATCAAAAGAAAGATATAAATATCCATTACTTTGATGCTTGTACTAATCAAATTTTAAGTGTAATAACAAAATATGCTGAAAGCAAAATCCTTTTTGGAGCTATTGAAACAGCAAAAAATGAAGCTTACCACAGCTCTACAAGATAGTTGTATTCTTCTTTTCTTTAGAATCTGTTGTTAAAAAACACCTAAGTCAGTTTTAATAAACAATATTATTTCTTCTACAGTCATACTGCCTTAAAGCAGCAAAACAAGCAACAATGTTGTTACACAGTGAAACGAAAAGTTGATTTGTTTGTACATATAATACATGATTTTTGTTCCCTCTTAAGTTTGAAAATAACTGGCAACATCATCAAGTGGTTGATAATAGGTCGTTCAGTTATTTATTTTATATGTATTGTGTGAATTCCTAGTTTGTTTCTTTTTTTTGTAACTAAAATACAAAAATTAAATTTGTAACATTCTTCATTATCATTAACTAAGCAGCCTCTAAAGTTATTAACTAATTCCTTTGTACCACAGTCAAGTCTGCAAAACTGCAAGTAGTTAGATCAAAAAAGACTTGAAATTTTATATTTATGAAAATCACATTTTAAGGACTAAAATGTTTTAGACAAAAAAAAACAAAAAACTTTTTAATGTTAAAAACTGGGAGTAAAGCATAAATAGGCATTAATAAAAGACTGGTAATATTTCATTGGAGTTTACCTAACCTTCATCTAATTACTTTAGACTAAGATGTAAGTGGACAAGAAAGAAGGTACATGTATAATAAATGTTACATCATTAAACAAAATATAAAAATAATGTTACAAGACCAATGAAACAATTTTGAACTTAATTTGGTCAAAGAGCTACTTCTGACACATAACTAACATATACAAAAAATGTAAAGGAGTTGCATCTAATAACACATTCACCATTATGTTTTTAGTAATATCTGATATACCAAAATGAATAGGAAAAATGTGATGTTAGAAATACAGAATAGAGGCTCATATAATATATTCAAAGCATGGAATTATAACCTCAGAAATGTAAGCGTTTTTTTTTGTTTTAACCTAACTATTAAGTTCTTGAAAATCATAAGCATCACACATTTATACTTACCATAATAGGATGTGTTTGAATCTTGTATTTGAGAGATATAAAGGGTGTTGTTGGTTATTGATATATCTTTTACTGTTTTACTTGATATAGCTTTTACTTTATACTGTTTAGGTTAATATTTAATTACTATAATATAACATTTCAAAATACTCAGAGTAACTACTATTAAGAAGTAAATCTTGAGATGCTTTACACACACATACACTGGTTGTTCCTTCACTGGAACAACTTCATTCTGTACTTCTAAGATCTGAATATTATAGAAGTCTTTGTTTTGGATTGATGTAAAACATAGAGTAGTATTTCTCATGTATTCTAAAGTTTTTGAACAGTTTTTTTTCAAAATAAAAAAGGGCTGAAATAATGCTTTAAAACATCAAATAAATTAAAACCATAGGAAAAACAACAACAACAAAATACAGTAACATGAAACAAACCTTGTTACTGTACTCTACTTCTTGATACACAATATAAATTTTTGCTGGAAATCATTTAAAAAAACTGAAAACAATCCTTAAAATTAATACACTAATGCTGGTGCATGCAAAAACTAGTTCACTAAAACTCTCATTTAGCTGATATCTTGATATTAAAATTTGTTATTTAACTCTAAAAATGTTCTTAAGTTTAACCATTTCCAACACAGTATCTTTTAATGAGGGTTAAATGACAAGATTAAGTTTTAAGTTGATTTTTCCCCTCAAATCACTTACAAAATAAAACTATAGCTGAAATATTCAAATTCAAAATTTTGTTTTCATATAAATTTTAACATTTGTTTTGGATGAATAAAAAAAAATCCAATCTGTAAATTGAAATTGAGATTTTTTTCTGTTCTTCCAAGTTCTCATTTTTATTTGAGGTGTAAAAATACTTGAACTTCTCACTCGAGGTAATGAAAATTTTTGCAATATCCAAATATAGCTGCAAATCTGTATTTGATGTTGTTGATTATTTTCAGCTCAGTTAGTTTGAAAACAGTAAATTTGTTATATAGGTGTTGTAAAAAATAAATATAATAAATTATTTTATTGAAGCAATCATTTTGGCAGTTGCTTTCATAAAAACTCTAACTTGTAATTTGAAACTAGAGTATGGTGGATTTCATACTGTCATGAGCTTAGAGATTTAAGGGAAGGTTTTTTTTCTAAAAGGAGTACAGAGGTAACTTTTATAACAAGATACACTAAGGTAGCTAACAAATATACTGTCTACTTACATTAGTTTTATTGATATACAGCATAAATTTTATAGCAAAATTTCTTTCAACAAAGTAGCTCAGTACATGATGTAATTAGAACTGTGATGTATTACTGCTAATAAGCATATGTGAAACATGACTTTCAGGTAACAGTAATGAGCATACTGAGTAATGGTTTAGCAAACAGTTATGTGACACAGTGATTTTTATTTCATCACAAACTGTAAACTTATCAACAATAAAAATTCTTATCTTAGGTTCTGAAACATTTAATGATTATAATGTTTCATTGTTTAAGTATTCATGTTTCAGATATGGCAACATTTACGAGTTATTAATTTTTATTCATGCAAATGACTGATTCCTAAATGTTCATTTTAAAAAGGATACTTATTTATTGTCAGTTCACTGATTATTTAAAATTTTGAGCTTGAATAGAAAAATATGGATAGCAACCACAATCAATTGTTGGGTTAATCTAATCAGGTAACAAGATCTGACTGTAACTCTTATAACTATTACCCCAAAAATGTGAAGTGTGATTTTGTGGCAGTATGACATGAACCAAAGGCTTCCAGATCCACATCCAGCATGCTAACCAATAGGCCAAGGTCTCACCCTACACGTTACATTGACTTTATACATATATATTCAATTTCAGTATCATTTAACTCTACAGAAACCTGCCTGCAAGAAAACATAATTTGAAATTTAGAACATTTACCCTTTTCACAGCAGACAAGTTAAGAAGTTCAGCTGCTGAAGGTCTTTCCCGATGATCTGGAAGCATCATCAGTTGTATAATTTGTTTCAGCTCAGGACTTAATTCTAGAGAAAAATAAAGACAACATTTAAAATGAATCATCTTGAATTTGAATACTTTAACATTTCTATTCACTATTTATTCTTTTGTTTCCTAGTATTACAGGTAATAGAAAAGCAATTTATTTAATTGAAATCCAAAAATTGCACCTTCCAATTAGATAAATTTTATGAATATAGTAAAATTCATCAGCTAAAGCCAAACATCTTTCACTGCCAATGAGAGAGAGAGAGAGAGAAAAAAGTTGACTGGCTCAATCATTACTATGTGAAAAAATGATTTTAAATTTTTAGTCAATAAATACCCCCAAAAGTTTTCTAATAACACTAAAAAAAAATGTTTGGATGAACATAAAATACAAAAAAAGTCCAAAAACCCCCAAGTTTAAGCTTGATTTTGCTTAATTGGCAATTCCAAATCTTAAAATTAGTGTGGATAGCATTTTCTGTATTTGCTATCTTTCAGAACGTGTCATGCCATTCTTCACCAAATTGTGTGTGCCTCAATTCTGTAGTCAACACACAGAAATTCTGAATTCTTTAACATTTAAGACTACTTCAACAAATTTATTAAAAATGTATTCCCATGTTATTAACAGAAACTTGTTGGTAACACTGAGCTATGCATTATGGTGATATTGGGTCATTCTTTCTACTGGTGATAATAAAATTATTGTAAAAAATAATAATAAAAATTTCAGAAAGTTTATTGCCTTTATTGGCTAAACATTATTCTTGGTGCTATCCATACAATGCATACTAAAACTTTTGGAAATATCATTCAAAAAACTGATGATTAAATTATTAATTTATTTTTACTCTATTCAATGTTTTTTCTGTGAGAATCTAATTTGAATTTCATATTCAAACCCCCCAAAAATACAAGTATTATATTATATTTGTCAGTAAATTATTAAATCTAGATTTCACTGAAAAGTTCTCAATTCCTATGAATAAACAGAATTAAAGTTTTAGATATTTTAACCAAATAAGTCTCATAAGACAGCTTTAACTTTGTCTTTCAAAGAATGCCAATCATAAAAGTATTTCAAGTGGGAGATGAAAATAATACAAATGCTGACAGCAAAAGTGAACCATACAAACATTTTTAAACTAAAACTTCTCTCAGTTGGAAAATATCAATTTATTCATATTCTTTAGAATATTACAGAATTATCTCAAACCTTTTAGAGAATAAATTAAAAGGATAAGATTTTAAAAAAATGTATAAGGAATTATTTATTGTTATAACTTCATGATCTAGAATTAAAACTTGTTTTTTCTAACAGACACTTTAAAATATATACCTTCTTACTTTATAATTGTTATGCATACATATGTATATGTAAATTTTTAGAAAAACATTTACAACATCTATAACTAGAACTGTACCACAAACTTTTTAAATTTATTTTTCATTAAAACTAAAAAAAATATTGATATAAATTGGGCCATTTCCAGTATTGATTTTAATGAAAAGATGACTAAAAACGTCCCACCCTGATATAAAAGTGTTAAGCAAAAAAACTTATTGTATGTAATAAAAAGTAATGCATCATCAAAAATAGATTAAGTTTTAATATAGTATTTTATTCCATATCACAGAAAGAAATCATTTGTACAGTTTCTTTGAAATTTTATCAGATATAAACAAATGTATATATCAGACAAAAAAAAAGTTGGAACTTTAAGTAAAGATTCATTAAAGTTGAATTAGATGGATGAAGATCATGAATACAAACCAATTCAACTCAAGTATTTTCAACTGCATAAGTCTAACTGTATACAACAAATATAAATTCTAGTTTGGAGATGGCTGGACTGGGTGATGAAAAAGTTTATTGTAAATGTATGACTTTTAAACAATGTTATATCATCCTCAGGTACCTAAAAAGTGATTATTTTATGCAAGTTAGATTTTTAAAGAAAATTAGAATATTCTCAATTGCATAATTATTCCAGTTTGTAACAATGCATGTAACTGGTACTGCAGACATGTGGCAGAAGTTTTTGTGGTTAGACAAGACATAAATTGAGCTTTTTGGTCAAAATTCAAAGCATCACGTCTGGTGCAAGCCCAACACGGCACATCACCCACTCAACATCATCCCAAGTGTCAAACATGGTGGCAGCAGCATCATGTTATGAGGCTGCTTCTCATCAGCAGGGACTGAGAAGCTTGTCAGAACTGAGGGGAAGATGGATGTTGCAAGGTACAGGCGAATCATAGAGGAAACCTGCCCGAGTCAGCCAAGAATCTAAAACTGGGTCAAAAGTTCACATTAGAGTAGGACAATGACCCAAGGCAAAAGGCCAAAAACCACACTGGAGTTGTTTCAGAAGAAGAAAGTGAATGTTATGGAGTGACCCAGTCAAAGTCCTGACTTGAATCCAATGGAAAGTTTATAGCGAGACTGGAAGATTTCAGTCCATCAATGATCCCAAAAAAACTTGTAGCAATTTGCCAGGAAGAATGGCCAAAAATTACACCATCCCATTGTGCAAAACTGGTAGAGACCTATCCAAAAAGACTCACAGCAGTTATTGCTGCCAAAGGTGCTTCCACCAAGTACTGACTTAGGGGGCTGAATACTTATGTAATTAGCAAATTCAATTTATATATTTTCTTTGACACATAATATTGTTAAATTTGTTTGTCAGAGTTTTGAATAAAAACAAGTTTATTAAAAAAATATTTTCACATTATTTGTATTTCCTCAAATGTGACACTATTGGGAGGGGTGAATACTTTTGCAAGGCACTGTATTAATAAAGTGTGTTACTGAATCTATCACAGGAAGTTATACAATTTTATTTCATTCTGTTTTACTCCTTTCTATCCTTTGCCCACCTAGTCAAAGCTTTATGGATATATTGAGAAAACTAAATTTCACAACTGATTAGCTTTTTCTTATTAAAATCTTGAATACTCATTTGAATGTTTAGAATACGAAGTAAGCCATGTTTTTCATTGTAGTTAGTTCAGAAGAAGAAGTTACCAGTAAGAAATTCCAAAGGTATCCTTCCTTCTCGTAACAGGTGCCATCCATCTCCTCCACGAGGCAGGTCCAGGTCGGATGCCAATTCCAAGATTGTTATTCCTAAACTAGAGACACACTTTTTGTGAAACTTTAGTAGTGTTTTACATAAAAAGAAAAAAGCCTACATTAAAAAATACTAAATCTATATATACAACAGTCAAAAGTTTTGGAATTTTGATATTATGAAACCATATACAAAGATACAAAATTTTTATAATAATATACACCATGATGCTGTTTTTTTCCACATATGTAAGTAACAACAGTAGCCAAAACTGTCAGACCTGGCCATCAATTCAAAATAATAACACTCATTTAACAAATTTGAGAGCAAGGAATTTTAACTGTTGATTTATTTTTTTGGGAAGATTTTAAGGAAGCAACTTCAAAAATTTTAGGGACATGCACACTGTTAAATTATAATATTTTACATTTACCATAGTATGGCCACTATCAATCTGAACCATAAACAAGTAGCTTAGTTCACAAATAATGTAATTTTTAGATATACAGATGATATGAAATACTGAATCACCAAAACTTTATTGAAACAAATTATGAATAAGTGATATAAAATAAAGTAATGATTTACAATTACAGCAGCATTATCTATTACCTGGCTTTAAAATAATGAATATACAGTATTTTGCCCCATAGCAGCATTACTGGCCACAAAAAGAAACCTGCACTGCCTTTCTTTTCAGGATGCACTTAGACATCAAATGCATGCAAGATATTTTCCATAATTGGAGAAGAGGAAAATGATGTTATATGATAGAAAAACACATATTTAAAATGTCTGTTTCAAAAAAAATCAAAACTTTCTTTTTGTACTTAATATACTTTTTAACATTACTTTTAGATTAACAAAATGGAAATAAAAAGTGGGGATTGGGAAAAGATAAAACCTATGTTCCACTCAAAGAGAAGGCCAAAGAGAGTATTCACATAATCTACAATTAATGATGTATAGAAATATATAGTAGTATAGAAAACAGTGACACAGTATACTTGATTAATAAAGTAAAATGAGCTATAGGCTTTACATTATAAGCATTTATAGCAGAAAAAAACTAATAAAATTCAAGCAAAAACAATTAGTTGAGTGAAGAATTCATTGTAAATAAAAGTGTAATTTAGAGATAATTTACTCTGCATTAAGTTTTATAATATCAGATGTTTATGGGAAACTATTTATGTGTTATGCCCAATAATACTTTGTGCATAAATAACACTCTTCTACTTTTTCAACCAAACTATAACCATTGTGTTTTACAGGTTCAAAGTACTACAACATAAAAGTACCTAAAAATGTCTGCAGCCTTTGTAAATTTTCCTTCCAATAATTCTGGAGCAAGATACATGGGGTCTCCTTCTATGGCTTCAGATATGTCTCCCTACTCACAGAAATAAATAAATAAGAGTAATATATATATATTAAAAATGAATTAAAATTTATTATATATACCATGTAGACACCAGATCATTACAGGAGATTTTTGTTTTCATTTTAGGATATGAAGCATTATGTTTTTTAAATAACCTCCTTGCACTGTGTATATTAAAATTGAAAAGTGAGTAATACTTAAAAGTTAATAACTTGAAATAGCTATAAATCAACCAAAAAATAAAAATGTAGGTTTCCTGACTTGAGAGAGTAATTTAGTATATTACATCAAAATCAATGAGGTAGAAATTGGACTTAGAATGGTACCAATGAACAAACTGACATCACAATTTTTAGATAAAATTAAAAATCAAATATCATGTTTGTCAGACTCAAGTGAAACGTTTGAAAGTGATAGACCAGCTAATCTTTCTCCAGTCAGAGGTTCATTTTGGAAGAGTAAAATTATATGGCAATTAGAAAGTAAAATCCACTTCAGACCAAGCAAGTTGTGGGAACTTTAATAATTTAAGGAGTAATTTGATCCTCCTTCTACTAGCATTTAATTTTGAGTAAGATCTTCCAGTGATTAGCTAATGAAGCCCATTAAGTAACCAAATGATTTCATAAGGTTAAAATAAGTTCTAAGAGAGTGTAGAAAAATAACAAAATATTAATGTGCAGAAAATGCTAGAAAAGAACTAAATAATGCTAATTTTTACCTTTAGAGTGATTATTTAAATCATGTAGAAAGATTTTCATTACTAAGTTCAGGGATCATCTTCAGGTTTTTACATTTTAAAATTATTATAGTGAAATTTCAACACCACCACTTATATGAATGGAACATTTCATTAAGAGTTTATAAATTTACTACTATTTTAATAGCCAAAATTTATTTTACAAAGTATTTTAATATATACATACATTTAGATGTATTCATCCTTAAAAAATACAAGTTGTTTATAAGTTTGACAATACTTTTTTTTATTATTGAAAGTGGAATTTGAAATTGTAAGGCAGTGACATTTATGCTTTTGTAATAAATGGGGCCAAATAATTGATCATAATGAAACTACAAAATAGAGAAAGAAAACAAAAAAATTTAATAGTGATTTTTTATTGCAACAGTTATTTACAAAAGAAATAATCTGTCAACACAGAATATTTACAAGTAGAAACACTTCTCAGTCACTAGAAAAAACTGACTGACCTTATTTAAGTCAAGAACTAATCCAAAATCTCCAAGTTTACAAACACCATCTTTTGAAATGAAGATGTTCGCTGGCTTGATGTCCAAGTGGATAAGGTTGTGATCATGCAAGTGCTTAACAGCCTAAAAAAAAAACATTCATACCTCATACATGTGCATTATTTTATAATTATCCACTTACTGTCCTCTTACAATGTTAAATAAAAAAGAACATCCACTATATTAAAGAAATATTGAAATTTACAAACTTTTAAACTGAAGTGAATTTTTGCCTTAATCTATATACATACAGATGTAATACATTTAACTCTCTCACTACGGACTTGGTCGAATCGGCTGAGTTAGTGACCCCAAAATGGCCTTTATAGTTTCCATACTATAACTTCTAGTACTTTTTGTGTATCTTCACAAAATTTTACAAGCTTTCAGTAACAATTAAGTCATATGTAGACAAAAAAATTAGAATTCTTATCGGAGTATTTTCACTAAAAATTTCTCCATGAATATACGAAGTCAAAGTGTAAAGTGATTTTCCTGTTAAGGTTAAAATACGTTTCTTCATCTGGAAAATCTTAAATTTTATTTCAGTAATCTCTAAAACCTGCTAAAGAAATCTCACATTACCCTTTTTCTTTCTAGAATGACTTCAAATTGTAACATGAAACTAAATTTGTTTATCCTAAATAGCTTTAAACTCATAATAGCATACACCTGTTTATATTTAAATTTTATTATTTTATTGCCCCTTCGAATCCAGTGGAACTAATATTCCTGACATAAAATTTGTAAATAACTTGGTGAACATGTAGATCAGGTTACTCTATAGTATTACATAATGCATGGGCTACTCAAGAGTTGCTTGCGAGCATACCTTGTGAACATTTTTTATTATTATTATTCATTTTACCTAATCTAGCCTAAAAAGTTTCAAATTTTTACATTTCAGTTACTTTTATTATAATAAATAAAGAATACACATGAAAAACAAGAAATAAAGTACTTACCTGGGTCTATTTTTTTGCTGTCGATTGTTGATGAAACTTAACCCTACTTTTGTTTTTTATACTAATGGTACTACTGCACTAAATAATTTTTTACTTAATTAAATAATGTATCAAAGAACACAGAATAATAACATGCAAAAAGCAAATAATGTTCCATAACTATTACAATTTCTCTGGCTTTCTAACTATGCGACAAGAGAATTTAAAAATTCAGCTAAGTACAAAGATGTGTTTCCCACGGGAATAAAGTTTGAACTGGAAGTGAAATAGACAATTCTCTGTACAAAAAACAACATAATATAATACACCATTTGATAGATTAAAACCTTGGCTTTCTATTGATTATATTGACAGGTGGGCATGGCAAGATAGGTCTGATTTTCTATTTTATGGCTCTGTAACCAAATAAGATTGAATGCTATAAAAATAATTCTTTACATGAGTAATGACAACATTATAATTAGTAATTTAAGTTAAATTTCGTAATTCTCAAAGAGATGGTAAATAAATTAGAGAAGATGGGATACCTAGAAAGCAAATGTCAATTCTCATACTAGGGAAAATTTGGGATTTTTTTGTTAATATTGCCTTACAAATTTAAGAACTTAAAACTTATGTAATATTAGAAGTTGGATTATTAGTTACATTTTCATGCCAAATTTATTCATATACCATGATAAGAAAGTAGTTTAATTAAATTTTGAATGTAACTCATTAAAACCTTGTGACATGTGCAGAAAAAATCCCCATAGCGAAGGTGTTAATGTCCTATAAATGATAACTGAAGAAACTGTAAACATTAAACTTGCTTTTTTCCCCAACTTTTATATTCTTGTTAAATGCTGTAAGTTATTTTCTTAGATTGAAAATAGATTTCCATTAGATACCTCATCTCACACCATAGCTAATCTTGATCTTCCACTGCCCTCTAATACATTGAAAAGAAAAACTTCTCGCTTGCCACACTAGCCTTTATACTCCACAAGTTTGAGCTGCTCATTTAGCATGCACAGAACACACACTCTCCTAGAGCAGCTGGATCCCTCTGTACCACTTTACATGAACCTCACTTTCAAGATCAGGCTCACAAGAAGTAGAACACTGGAAGTGAAGAGGAAGGGTGGGAAGAGGTAAGTATCTATCACAAATCTATTTTCAGTGTAAGAAAATGATAACTTCCAATACAATATATACATCTCCACTCAAACCATAGCTAGAATCCCACACTGAGAAGGTGGAGGGACCAGTGTAAGACAAAACAAGAGATGCCTATGGAAAGCATCCATAGAGAATCGATCAGATGTGCTCTGTAATTGAATGGCAGCACACATGTGGGGGACTGCACCACTTCTCGAACATGTGTGCTCTTCAACCTCAAAGAAGTGTAGTATCACGAAATAAGTGGCATTGAGGCCTAGAGTGAGTAAAAGAAAGACCTAAAAAACAATGTATTTGGTGTGAAAAAAAAAAAATCAACATGTGTGCTACTCCAAATTCAATCATACAAACGCGACTGAAAACAAACCGACTTGGGTAGGATAAGAGTCGCACGTAACATAGAAAAACAACGGACACAGAGGTAACTCCAAACCCACACAGAAAAACAGAAAGCCAACAGCCAGACCTTGTAATTATGAACTAGGTATCTACTCAACCCCAACCATACAGACGAGGTTCTATGTCCTGTTCTTGGTATTTTAAGGCAGAGGATTTCACACATGATTGAAACCATTATAAAAAGTGTATGGTGGCCAGGGTAAGCAGACCATGATGAATATATATATATATACACCAACCCCTCCCTTAAGTAAATAGAATGCTATACTGCAAGGGACTGGATTTGCGATGAGGAAGTAAGCAAACGGCATCGAACAGGTAAAATCAATCATAGGAGACAGGAAGAACAACAAATTGAATGTGGACTTACAGAACTGTATTGAAGCCTAAACTATAAAAACAGGTTATTCCTGTACTCTTTATTATGAGCAGCAAAATAACAATACCAACCCAACTGTAAGAGCATGGAATAAACATCATGCACCTGGCATTATGAAAAGGATGTGGGACACCTGCTCAACTGTAGGAACAGAGCATTGTACATCCTGCAACTGCATTACGAGGCAGATGAAGTCCCCTGAGCTCTACTGTAGTAATAACAGGGAAAAGAAACAACTTGCAACCAAAATTACTGAGAGGGGGGGGGGGCATAAACTGGTCTCAACCATAGGAACAGGGTGCTATCTACTTGAACCCGGTATTACAAGGATGATCCAGTTTTGGCTGGTCCAGCTCTCTACAACAACAACACACCTGGAAAGAAACATACATACAGAAACATAGTAGGAAGGAAGGTTCCCACCTTTGCTCATTTCTCAACTGAGTGGAGTGATATTACGTGGTCTCTACACTCGTGAGGAAGCCTCCGTGTCCCACCGCCCCAGCAGTTAGGAACTGGAAAGTGACAGGGACTCCCAAACTACACTCGAGAAAGAGAGGGAAAAGGCATTGGGGAGTCCAGAGGAATGTCAAAGTGCATTGGGTGATCACAAAACCCTATTTTGAAAAGCAGACCACTCCCGATTTATTCAATCGAAGGAGTGGCAAGAATGAGCAGGAGTCCCCTTTTGCTTTACCCATGAGTAACGGTCTGCCACGGACATATCAGAATGTGACATATTAAGAAATGAAAACATAGATATATTTATACCACTAGGTAAGCCACTATTGATCTTGTGGAACACCCCATTCAACAGTGTGCATTATAACTGTAAATGTATTTGGTTTGGGTTTAGAGGAAAGCATACCTGACTAAACAACACTTGCCACTGAGTGGGATCAGATTATATACTGAAGAAAAAGGAGACTCCTGAAAGAAAAATAACAAAAAAAAAAGACACTTACCCAAGGTAAAGTTGAACCTGTATGTGCAGAATTGCCACAAAAGGTAGACAATATCTATGAGAGAAGGATACAGGCAGTATACAGTGAGTAGTCCACATTCTTCTGAGGGACCAAGGCATGCACATCCCTGGAAGATAACGTTGACCCCAAGGCCTGGGTAACAGGTGTGTTAGCATTAACCCTATTGTCCCAGGTACCCTTTACTGTGCATGACACAAGGTTTTAGTGTCTTACATTCAAAATTTTATTAAACTTCTTTTTGTTTATGCTATACCAATTAGAATAGCATAAAATCATAGCTAATAATTTATATTTTAATAATATAGAAGTTTTAAGTTTTACAAGGCAATATTTAAAAAAATCCTGAATTTCCACTTGTGTGACCCATGTGATACATTATGTCTTAGCGTGTCATCATCCCTATTTTATCCACCACCCCTCACAAAAGTACAAAATTAAATATAAATTACTCTCTATAAAATTGTTATTGCTAAAACAAACCATAATTTTTATACCCTTCAATTTTATTTGGTTACAGAGCTATCAAATAGAAAATCAGACCCCCACCTGTCACAATTCATTGATGGTTCTCTCTTACGTTTCATTATATATTACCTATAACCAATAGAAAGTCAAGATTTTCATCTATCAAATAACATATTGTATACCATTGTATTCTGAACAGAATATAATCAATTTCACTCACAGTACAAGATTTTTTCCTGTGGAAAAGTTAACAACTAGCTTGGATGAATTTGTAATGGCTCTTGTCGCACAGTTAGAAAGCCAGGAAAATTTTGAGAGGTAAGTGAATTTGTCTACTTTTTGCATGTTATTATTAGTCTATATTCTTTGTGGCATTATTTATTTAAATAAAAATTATTAAGTGCAATAAGTACTATCTATAGTATAAAAAATTAGGGTTAACTCTCTTTGAAAACCCGAGAGCAAGAAAAAAGAAGATTGCTTAAGAACTTTATTTCTTGTTTTTCATATTTATTCTTTACTTATTATTATAAAAGTGACTAAAATGTAAAAATATGGATCTTTTTTATGTTATTTAAAACTAGATTAGGTAAAATAAGTAACAATAATAATATCATTAAAATGATTCATGAGGCACGCATGCGAGCAGCTCATGGGTAATGTAATTCGATAGTGTAATGTGAGCTGCATGTTCCCCTAGCAATTACAACTTTTATGGTGTGGATAGTAGTTAGACACATTTCAAAGTGCAATAAAACAATAAAATTTAACTATAAATAAATTTATATTGTTACGAACTTAGAGTTACTTAGGATAAACAAATGTAGTTTCATGTTACAATGTGAAGTCATTCTAGAAAGAAAAAAAGTGTAATTAAGGTATATTTCGAATTTTTTTTTGGTAGTTACAAGGTCGGTCAAATTGACCAATCCCATTTTGAGATAAGGTAGAGAAAATAACAGAAATGCATTTAGGAGGTTTTGGAAATTACACAAACGAAATTTAAGATTTTTGAGAGAGGACTATTAAAAACAAATACTCAATATATTAGTGGACATATCTTTATTTTATTTTATTAAAAATACTTCACTAAAAAATATAATTTTTTTGTATGTGAAAGACATATGAACTGAAAAACTGCCAAATTTTGTGAAGATATACATACTATATTGAAAGTTAGAAGTATTAAGTCTATAAAGACTTTAATCGAGTACAAAGAGGTCATGTGGTTGGTCAAATTGACTGAGCCCATGTTGAGAGAGTTAACTTCAAAAGCCAAGGTGGTAATCATGTTAAATCGAGAATTTAGAATTCTCAATAAATTGTGAAAAAGTAGTAATGAAAAACAGTAACCCATCGAAATCAAGACATTGTGAAGCAAAATTATTCATAGAAATGACAAAGATGATCAAAATATGAAATGGTGGCAAAAAGGAAAAAAAAAAATTTGGAAACTGAAAGCAAGCGAGAAACACATCTGACTCGTATTGTGCCACTTGAGAAAGTTAGTTTCATGTAATGTAGTACAGAGGGAGCCAGTTGCTCTAGGATAGTGTGTCGTGCTCCTACTGGTGAAGGGTTGTTGCATGCTCTATGCATGATAAATGAGCAGCTCGAACTTGGTGGGTATAAAGGCTCGTACATCAAGCAAGAAAAATTTCTTTGCAATGCGTTAGTGGGAAGTGGAAGATCGAGAAAAGCTATAGCGTGAGAAAGGTATGTATCATATCAGAATTCATTTCTTACTAATTATAAGATCACATTTATCTTGCAATTCTCAATTTAATGTAAAGTTCATGAAAATGTAAATAGTCGTACAGATGCCTATACAGTTTCATATAAAAACAACTTTCTTGAGTTGTTCTATATACTTAGAAACATAATTTAAGAATGAATGTATTCATTACTTACAAGCAGCAAATCAACAAGATAATTCCACACAACTGATTCTGGAATTTCATGGTTTTGTTCAGCATAATTGCTTAGACTAGAAATTAAACATGTACAAAATAATTAGATGTGTAAGAAGAATACTGATAATGTAAAATGTATATATACGAAAACATAATTTACATTATTAACAAAATGTTTTAGCACATTTAACTAAATTTATCAGTTTTGTACTTTTTTTTATAACAAATCTAAAATATTTTGATGAAAACATAATTCACATGTTATTAACATGGTACCATTACAAATTAACTTGAAAATTAAACATACTTCAATGGTCTGTATCAAATTAAACAAAACATTTCATTTGAAAAGTAAATTAAAAACAAAAATTAAGAACCCTAATTTTTAAAACATAACTAAATTCTGCTACTTTACTTAAAAGTTTAAAAATCATTACAAGAGACCAAAGAGCAAGTTAAAACACATGCCTACACACTAGAATAGTAGAGGGAGCTAGCTGCACTAGTATAGATGATGCAGTATGATTGTTGGAGGGTAATCACATGATCAGCACGTTATGAATTGAGGCAAAACTAATGGGGTATAAAAGACTGGTTCACTGTTAGCAAAAAAATTTAGCAATGCTTAGAGAGCAGTCCAGGGTTGAGATAGCTTTGGGTTGTTCTGTATACTTAGAAACATAATTTAAGAATGAATGTATTCATTACTTACAAGCAGCAAATCAACAAGATAATTCCACAGAACTGATTCTGGAATTTCATATATTGTGTATATATTAAATAATTAATGTAACTTAACTGTCAGAGGTAATTTTAGGTTTTTGTTTATTTCAAAAGTGACATTTTCTTCTGGGGTATAAAAGACTGGTGCACTGTTGACAAAAACATTTAGAAATGCTTAGAGAGCAGTCCAGAGTTGAGATAGCTATGGGTGAGAGGACGTAAGGCTGTTTTGGAAAAACCATTATGAGAGACCAAATATATATTTTACCTTGTTTCACAAAGTTCTGTTTGAATGTACAGATGTTGTTTTTCCTCCCATGCCTTTACAAAGCGAATACAATTGCTATGTTTTGGCAGCTGTTCATGTTTTTTAACTTCTTCCAATTTTCTTTGTCTGTAATGAAAAGTGACGTTTTTTTCTTTTACTTTAAAGGACTGTTAACAAACTAATTATGACTTTTCAACAGAGAAAAATGTAACATATGAAAGGTGAATAGACAATTGAAAATCATTAATTAGATGATACGTTCATATACAATGAATAAAGAAAATAACATTTATACATAGCCAGAAGTGTTAATGTGTTATCATTCATAAAAAAAATAAACTTTACCCTAGATTGTCAATTAATATACATCCTTACACTTCTTTAAGAGACTTCTCATCCTGATTAACTACACACACAGTGAAAATTTCAGACTAAAATGCTCGATTTAAAAAAAAATATAACACATCAAAACTGTACGAAATGAAATGTCTGAAGTGTTGAATAACATTTAAGATGGATTCTTTCTCAGAAATTGATATATGTTTATATATTAAAATATTAACAAAATGTTTTAGCATTGAATTACTAATTTTGCAACTATTTTTATAATAAATCTAGAATGTTTTTATGGAACATTATCTTTTGTATTGATTAAAATGACTAAGATAATTCCCATATTATTAACATAATAAAATTACAAATTAACTGGAAAACTAAATTCATATCTTTCTAACTCCAGAAATTGTGTATAATTCCTATTTTTTTTTTATATTTTGCATATATAAAATATTCAATTAATAAAATAACATTCATGTTTGAGAAAATCCTTAATAACAAATCTAACATTAACCAGAAAGAAACCACAGCTTACAAACATTTTTCAATATTTAATAATAAAGTATTCATATTGTAGAAAATGTATTAAACAAAATTAGATATTTGTGAGATCACCTGTCAGATTCTCCCCGGAACCTCTGCCTTGATTTTTTGACAGCATATCTTCGTCCATCTTCTTTGCTCCTAACTTTGAAAACCTTAAAGATATATAGTTTCATACACTCAATCTTGGAACTCAAAATTTTTAATATTAATTGTAAAAATACTGAACCTTATATTACCATTTTGTACCTCATGATATCTTAAAATTTCACTTATTATTATCTTCTATTTTTTCCAGTCTTTGTTCTTGTGATTCTCCTCTACCTATATTCTATCTATAACACAATATATTAAAATATATATTAAATAATTAATGTAACTTATCTGTCAGAGGTAATTTTAGGTTTTTGTTTATTTCAAAAGTGGAAAATTATTAGTAATTCCCATCTCTGCAAACCCTCCAGAGACCCTCTTAAGGCAACTCACAATTTTGGAAACATTATCAAAATTAATTTTGTTTTGGAAAAAGTTTACAAAGCATAGTATCTGTCAACTGGACATACTTATCTGAAAACAAGCTTTTTTTCTTAAAATAATAATAATAAAAATAACTTAGTAAATACATATACTTGTAAAGAGCAAGACATATTATCCACGTTTTTAACTACAAAACACATAACGCAATGTTAAGAAAAATAGACAGCTACAAATAAAATCAATACGAGCAGATTGTTCATTGACCATACATTGATCACTGTGAACCATACGTCGGACCATACTGCATGGTGCAGTATCACTGACTGATTAACTTATTAAAATGACATACATAAAAACTTCCCAAAGGATTAAAATTTTAAATCATCATAATACAAACTCAAAACTTACCTCACCAAATGATCCTGCTCCTAGTTTGCTTTCCACTTGAAAACACTGATCGAAATAAAGCTCCTGACTACTCTCATCATAATGTTTGCTGAGTAAGACTGGAAAACTTGTTAAGGAAAATATTTTATGTCCTTACAGTAAAGGAAATGACAAAATTATATCCTGATTTATTTATTTAAATGACAAAGTTAAATCAAGAATTGTTATCTTTACACATAAATGCTTATGAAGTTGTTAGCTTATTGGTAGGAGAGATGAATATCAGTTCTAGGAAACCTTGAAATTTATTTATCATCCAAGGAGCTTACCAAGATCTCATGAAAAACAAACATTTCTAACTGTATGCCAATGCTGAGAATCAGGCTGGTTAAGTAAGTGGCATAATCCTAATGAACTAAGGGTTACTTCTAGGCATTCACAGTTTACAGCTTTTGCAATTTTCTTCTTCTTATCAATTATTTTTCTCATAAAAACATATGTTAAAAAAATCCTCATTGTTCACTTGAGGTAGATCTAGTTTGTTTTTTAGAAAAGGCAGTGCTTTTCATTTATTATCATTCTGTATGTTACTGTACTTTATGTGTTTTAGTAACAACACTAATGAATTATAAAACTGCTGTTTTTGCTTTCTTCCTTTAATTAAAAAAGACAAATGAACAAATGTTAATTATAATATAATGAAGAAAAAATGTCTCATTTGTTTAACTGCTAGTTTATGAGAATAACAAAATTATCTGTTTTTTTATACAAAAAAATCTGCATATATTGCTGCGGATACAAATAGATGAACTGTTTCTTTATAAACTTCAACAACATTGGTGAATAACCTATAATAGCTGTGAAAGAATCCAAGTGAGAAGTTAATGAGTTCAGATTTTATTTGGTTGTTCCACAGTTAACTGTGGTCGTTACTATTTTCTTAATGATGTCAAGTATACTACAGTTTGACTAGAACACCTGAGATTTTGTTTGTTTTTCGTGAATCACAAAGCTACACAATGGGCTATCTGTGCTCTTCCCACTATGCATATTGAAAACTGATTTTTTACCATTATAAATCACAGATTTACCACTGAGCCACCAAGTGCAACACCTGAGAAACAAATATAAAAAAACAAGCTTTTCTGTCATATACGAGATATATACAAGTGAGAAAATAAATCAACAAAAATTCATGTTTTTGGTGAAGAAAATATATCAACAACTAAATACCCATATAATTATCAATTATTAAGAATTATTATAATACATATAAATGCTGCACTGATTATGACATTTCATGTTTTTATGGTGCTGTAACTTTCAATCAAAATAATCTCAATGCTTTTCTATTTATTAAGTAGAAGTATAACAACTTCTTGTACATGTTTAGGCCATGGTCAATTCATTTAGAATCTTTTGTAATCACAAACTGGAGAAATGCATACAGAATAATTTCCTAGCTTACTATCAAAATACAATTAAAATTCTATGTTTTCTCTTCATTTGTTTTTATTTTACAAGTTATTGACAGAGATCAAGATGTCAGATAAGACTTCTTCATTAACACAATGGTTAGTTTTCATGATTTCCTACTACTTGAAAAATAATTTAGTTTTTTATAACACCTTATGTAAAACAGATTTATTAAATTTGGAAAATAAAATAGGAAAACCAACTTCAAAATGTGTTTATACATATTCTGAGAGATTAACAAGAAACCTAAATTTGAAGATGCCAACAGTAAGATTAGGTGCTAAGAGTAGTTTAGCATTCATCTTATTTAAATCTTCATATTAATTTTTTGAACACAAGAAAGTATAAATCAAAAACATTTTGTCATAATACAGAAAACCTGATATTTCGACATGTAGGTAGAGCTGAATGTAAAAATTATTACTAATTAATTTCTAGCAACTTTCAAATACTACAGTTGTTGAATGTACTTCAAATGAATTAACATAAAACATATTTTAATACTTGAAAGTAAATGTGTTCTATAATACTCCCCTTCAAACCATCTTATTACATGTCCACTTTTATACTTCATTATTACCAAACATTACATCTGCCTTAAAGGAACAAGTGGTGAAGGATGTGTATGCTGAAAAGTTAAACTCAAAATTTAAGCATGATTAGGTCAAGCTGATTTAAAAAAAGATACATGAATCTGATCCTCTGAAGCTAACAACTTGAGCTCGTTGCAGTAATGGTCGATTGTGAAATAAGCGGCTAACAGGTGGTGCACTCTTCACAGGAGGTCTTGGAGGTAACTGGTCTCTAGGTGTAGCTCGAGCCTAGTTGTATTATGGAAAAAAGCATAAAAGTATTTAGAAACTAACTAATTTTGACTTGTGCAGGAAAATAGTTTCAAGAAAAATTGAAGTGATATTGTAAACCATACATTTTTAGTAAATGTTCTGATGAACAACAAGGTATTCACATTAATCCAGTACTATTTAAAGAAAAAAAAAAAGTAAAATTCCCCAATACTTCCCCTGATGTTTCTGAACAAATAGGCCTATATATATTTTCAAATTGTAACAAATGTTAAAAATTACTACTTATACTAGAGTTTAAGTACTAGTTTATGATATGAGATATGGCTTAACTGTAGTTTAAGAACATTGTTTCCAGAAACTAAAGTTTGGGGTTTGAAAAAACATCAAAGTTCTTTTTTTTTGTAATTTTCCTGTATTGGATAAAAGTATACATACCTGTAAGCAGTAATACCTCACTTATCGTATACAAGCTGAAATACCCATTAACTGATGGGGAATGTTTAAACTTAATTAAAACAATGCAAGGTTAACAGCAATCATACATTTCAAAATAATAAATTGAACATAAACCCTATCTCAAAACTTTAAAATTATAACAAAGCTTCTTCATAAACAACATTTGCAGTTTGCTTTCCATCTACCAATAAATAAAGATTTTGAGGTGATCTCAACCTTGATCACCCTACATCTCATGAACCATGAGAAATACATGGTTTTTTGTGAAACAACCAAGCAACTTTCATACTTTGACCTTCAATCCCTTTATAATATTCAACATTGTTTTAAGCATCAACCTGCCAAGATTGTTTGAGATTGACTCAATAGGCTGGGAGTAATTAACCACCAGGCTATACAAAATAGAAATAGGGGTATGTACAATTTCGACCCCTTAGAACATTCCCCATAGTTCATAGTGTCTACATATAAATTTTGGGTGAGTTCGGACCAAAAGGCTTGGAGGAGTTAGGATGCAAACAAACCCACATTTTATCTTTATATATATATATATATAAATCAAGGTCTTTAATCCAAGAACTGAATTAATAATGCTTACAATTTCATTAACACAACAAACTTATCCAACAACTTTGAAATAATCAGTATTAAAAAATCTAAATGAAACATTATAATTTTCCTATACTGAAAACATATTTCCGATATTTAATTCCCTACAGGACGTGGGGTACCGACATCCACATAGCAATAGGATGAGGGCTCCCAATCAAAGGAGTGAACTGCATTGTTGATGGCTCAGCTCCAGTGGTTGTGTAACTGGTATCAGGAGGCCATGTCTCATCTACATCAGCAGAACACCACCACTCTACTCTCAACTGAATGGCTTTGCCATCTTTTTGTAGAACCCATTCAGAAAGGTACCTCCATGGTCAACCACCCCAGAAGCTTGAAACTGGAAAGTGGTAAGGACTCCTACACTCCACTAAAAGAAAGGAGAGTGAATATGAGGTGGAGAGTCTAGAGGATCATCATCACCGGAGACAGTGCAATAGGTGACCATGAAACCCTATTCTGAAAAGCAGACCATACCGATATATTCAATCAAGGCATGGCAGGGGTGGGCAACTATCCACTTCTGCTTTACCGATGCAGTCCATGGGTTGTACGGTCCGGATCAGGCATGTTTATGAAGCAAAAACATCGTGAGGTTATTTGCCTTCAACCCCACCTCACTGGTGAGCATTGCAAAGAGTGCAATTCAACATGGCTGTACAGCGCAGATTGCAAATGAAGGATACGTGGTCAGGCACTGCTCACCACAAAGTGGGATCCAAATAGTAACTAACAAAGCAAGAGCCTCTGAAAGGAAAGAAATAATGAATAGAAATTTACCCAGTTACAGTCGCACCAAAGTATGAAAAATTATCACAGGTGGTAGATGAAAACCTGATGAGGAAGAAACCATGAAACTGTGTAGATAAAGGGGGGACAAACATATTAGGTGTAGTCCTCATGCCAGAATGTAGGAGTTCCCCCAATGGCCAACAGAGATGAGGTGCCAGGGAGGTAACAATGTCAAATTTGATGAGAAGACACCCAGAACTAAGTCCAGGAAGAAGATGACATAGGGGAGCAAGCCAATGGGATCAAAAGCCAAACACAATTGGTGAGGGTGGAACAAGAAAGATCTCGACTCGAGGAAAACTGCCTAGGAATAAAGAGACAGGAACGGACACTATGAAAAGAAGCATATGGGCAATAGAAAAACAAAGAGCACAGACCGTACACAGGAGTCGATCTGAATCAGGATGAGGATAAAAATGGGAGATGAAAGGAAGGGAATTAGGCAAAAGAAGGAGTTACCTCCCCTAGCCACTGATGTCTTGGGTAGGAAGGAAAGATATGGATAAAGGAGAAAAGAGAGAGTGGGGAAAAATGTACAAGAAAAATCATGGGAAGCAAATCCAACTTACACATGCATAGAGGAGAAGGAATTATGTTTGAAGGGAAGGTGATGCAAATGAAGGTAAAGTGAGGGAATAAAATATCACATTAATATCCCAGGTCAGAATGGTTAGTTGTCTGGAAGGACAACTAATCCATAAGGAACATATGAACATAGTAAGGATAGGTAAGGTAAAAACTTCTTGGTATCAGGAAATGAAGAACCAAACACTTGAACTCCAGTGGTGGGAAAAGGCTATCAAGATCTCCCTTCATCCATCTGAACAGGTTTGGTTTCTACAGGAAAAATTGTGGGTGATAACCGAAGAAAGAGGCGACCTTTTTAACGTTCAATCTCCCGGAGGATAAACACCATTAAAAACCCATGCCGAATTGCTCACACCTACTGTCAGATAGTGCTAGTCATAACCGTAACTCCCAAAGTGAATATTACTTTGCATGATAGATAGGCAACATGCGAAAAGAAAAGAAAAGACATGAGAAAAACATTGCTTTACTAACCTTAAGACTTAATAAAAATATTTGATATTTTACGCATTTAAGCATTGTAATGTTTACTAATAATCTGCCAAATTTTGTTAACATTCACTTACTAATTTAAAAGTTATAGCATGAAAACTATAACAAGCACAAAATGGTTATAAGGTCAGTCCCAGGGACCCAGTCTGTGCTGAAAAAGTTAAAGGAATAATATATGTAAACAATATATAGACAAGTATCATGTTCTTAACCCTAGAACTCCAGCGTGGGGCCACTATGACCCCATACCACTTGTTGTTCATGATTGAAATTTTCATGCTGGCATTCTAGGGTTAAACTGTTCTAATTTTTGAAATAAACAGGCTTTAAGTCCAAAGTAAACTCCTTCCTGAAAAACAGATGAATATTAAAGGTGTAAACAATAAATCAAAAACCCAACAATATATTTTTAAACATGAAGCTTAACAAAAGCAGAAACCAAATTTTCACTTAAATGCTAGTCAAAGAATGGAGAACTCTTGTTTTGTCAGAGAATAATTAATCAGTACTGACAACTTAAAAGAGTACAACTAAAAATAACCAAACAAGTCATACTACTAAAAAAGTCCTAACTTAAAAAGAATCATCTCATAAAAGGAAAAAAAATATCAGAAGATGTTGGCACCACTATTTATAACACTTTCACTTCAAAAAAGACAGATAAGCACCACTGAAGAAAGAATTAATGTCTAGTCATATAAATTCTGAAATAGAAAACAAAAGTTTCAATTTTTTAGCATATTTTATTGACCTGCATTTTGTTGAACCTATTTTCAAGGGGTTGATGATTTCAAACTAAAATAAACTTCTACGCCACATTTTTAAATAAGGTACAGTCTAACACATATTTGGTTAAAGTTCAATGTACCTGAACATAATGAAAGCTATCAAGTCAAACCTGGAAAATGGCTGGTCAAAAACTTAATGATATTTTACTATAATATATTCAACAATCTATACTGTTAATTAAACAAGACTTATTTTAAATTAATAGGCAACAACTGAAATACCATGAAATTTTCGTATCCTATTTTACTGTTAATAATATTTCCACACATTTATATCATAGTTTTAGTACACAAGAAGTGATGAATCCAGTGCAGGCTGTAATGTAGATATGTATATTCATTCTTAAAATAATAATAGATGGGACAGCAGAGGTCTGGTCTGGATAGAGGAGAATACAAGTGCAGTGGAAGAGAGTATAAGAAGAATCAATGGCATAGATATCCAAAAAATGGTGACACAGATGAAAAGGAGGAGGAAATAAGATGTGAGAGAAAGATAGTACAGAGAGCATGAAGCCAATGGCTTGAACAGGGCACACGTGAGAGGATGCAAAAACACATTAAGGTCACAGTCAAGCATGGAAATCAGGTGAGGAGGTCAGTGAAAGGAAAAAGGAGTGGAACAGAGTAGAGAGAACAGGAGAAGAAAACACTCTGTGGTACCAGGAAAGGCAAACTGTAATGTATAAGGCCACCCAATAACCAGCAATGGTGGAGACTGATAAACCATGGTCGAACAGTCAGGTAAGAAAAGGCAGAAATGTGGTTCACAGTAGGGCAGCCAGGAAGAAAGGAGCAGTGGACAGACCAAGAACAAAAGACCCACTACTTTCTTTGATAGACAAACACAGTGGAAGAATGACAGGAATGTGACAAGAAGAATGCTACATGATCAGAATCAGGCCGACAAGTGATGGACCAGACAAATACCGCATGTGAAAATGGAGGGATGATATTCCTTGATCAAAAAGGGATGTATGGAGTTGAAGCAAAAAAT